AGGTCCTGCCGGTTGCGCGCTGGTGAGGTGACAGGAGGGCTGTGCCAGGTGCATGCCTGGGTTTTCTCTTGCTCTGCCAAGAACAGTCCTGGAGCCCCCAGAACAAGATTTCACCTGTAGTGAGCCCTTTCCCAACTGACTGACCTGGGACGAGTGGCACAATCTCGTCGAGCCTCTATTTTTCTCATCTGTAGAATGGGAACAATGTTGCTGACTCTGCAGTATTGGAAGGGTGCAGAGGGACAAACATGTGGCAGGAATGGCCCCAGCACCTGGCGCATAGGACATGCTCAGTGATGGTGGCGACTTTGGCCACTGGTGGCTGCAGGTGTCTTACTTCCTGGGGCCTGAGTGTCCTACATCCTTCTGCAAGTGCTTTGTGTGCAGCTACTATGTGTTGGGTCCAGTGCGATGAACGAGATGTATTCTCTGCCCTCAGGACACTTGTTCTCTCACAGGGGAACCAGGTTACAGACAAGGAAACTGACACCTGTTTAATTGCAAATTGCAATTAGGTCTGTGAAGATAGAGATAAGAGGGCTGGAGAAACAGTGTCTGTGCGTGGGTGCGTGCATGCGTGTGACTTAAGGGAATCAGGGAGGACCTCTTGGCAGTGGCGGCATTGAACCCAAAGCCAGAAGTCTGGGAAGGACACAGCTAATGCAGACAGCTGGGCTGAGAGTGTTCCAGGTGGAGGCAACAGCATATGCAGAGGTCCTGAGGAGGCCCAGAGCTAGGTGTGCTCGAAGGACTGAGAAGAGTCACTCCGATGTGTGGCTTTAGGTCCTTGGCAAGGGGGATGGACACGGAGTGCTGGTGGAGAGGAGGGCAGAGCCCAGATCACGCAGGGAGCCCTGGCCTGGAGGGCTGCTGTCTGGTGCATTTGACCTGGGGGGCGTCTCCAAGGGTGTGTCCTGTTGTTGGAATCGCATCCAGGGACCTTCGGAATTCAGAAGGTATTAGTGGGTAGGGGACTAAAGAATGCCAGGCATTGGCCCTGGTCTGGGCCTGGCAAGTCACACCTGGCAGTGCCCCCAGCTCTCTACCTTGCAGGCTCCAAGTCAGACTGCGCCTCTGCGGTGGCCTTGGACGAATCGTTACCTTTTCTGTGCCTTACTTTCTTCATCTGTGAAATGGGGAGAAGGAGTCTCTACCCCAAACATTTTGAGAGCTTAGGCTAGGAGCGGACAGAAAGCCACGTTCCAGGGGCTGTTGCTGTTGTTGGACACAGCTGTCCCGACATTAGTGTGTATGGAAGCACCACGTGCCCCAGAGCGCAGGAGCACATCTCTGCCTGGAGCCCCCCTGCTGGGTTCACAGCCTGTCTTCCCTATCGGCTAGCTTCTTGACCTGCCCACGCCTCAGTCTTCTGGTCTGTAAAATGGGATGTTGAAGGTTGTTGTAGGAGCAAAATGAGGGAGTTCATGCAGACGGGCCTATAGTAAGTGTGACGTGCGTATCTACAGCTGTTGCTAGTTTTATTGGTACGTTTTTCTGAGTGGACAGACTGAGCATCAGGCCCGCTCAGCCTCTAGTGTGTAGCCGGGTTTTTGGAGCTATACTGGGGGAGGAGGCTTACCTAAGGCTGACCTCCTGGGCCAAAGCCCTGGAATCCCTGCCAGTGGCTGGGAAGCAAGACTATGACATGGCTGGAACCCCGAGCCCCTGTGGATGTCCCAGAGTCTGCCCCCTCTGCAGAGAGAGGGTTCCTCGCTCAGGTCCCTACAGGGCAGAGGGCGTGGTTACCGCTGACACCAGGAGTGTGGGGCCAGAGGGCACAGGCCACAGAGTGGCAGGGGGCCCTGGCTCTCCCTGGCACATTCCAGGCTCCTGAGAGGGTGGCCAGGGGCCAGGGTGCCGGAGGGAAGGAGAGAGCCTTTTAAGGAAACATTTCTCTGCTTACAAAAAAAAAAAAGAGAGAGAGAGAGAGAGAGAGAGAGAGACAAGAAACACTGAAATACACAACAAAGTTAGTGGGCTGGCTGGCCGGCTGGCCTGGAATGCACAGCTGTGGGTGGCGGGTGGAGGAGATGCTGGGGGGCAGCAGACCACGAGGGGCACCCGGACGTCAGGTCCTCCAGCTGGGGGTCCACCACTCTGCTGCAGAGCTCAGTCCTTAGGGGTGGTGCTGCCTCAGGGGAAACAGGAAAGGGACCTGGGGTTGAGACACCTGGACCCTCCTTTCCACCACTGCCTTAAGGTGGTTCTGGGAGAGAGGCCCTCCCCCCGTTTCAGAGGACACTGTCCATTCTGCCCCCACTTTAAATGGATCTGTAACCTCCCCCCGACTCTCTAAGTCCCCAGACCCAGAAGGGAGACTAGAAACCCCTCATGTAACGGCGTGGGAGACAGTGGCTATGGACTGGACTTGCCCAGGTCTGGAGGCTGAGGTCGGAGCCCGCAGCGTCCCTCCTCCTGCAGGTTCCCAGCCCCACCTGAGCCCCAGTGCCAGCGCCAGCTCCAGCTCCGAAGGAAGGAGCAGAGCAGAGCAGAGCAGAGCACTCTGCCGTGGCTCCCACCCAGGGCCAGAGGGACCCCTACATGATAGAGTGGTGGGAGAGAGGACATTGGGAACCTGGCCCCATGAGGTTGAAACCTACAACCTGTGAATGGGGTTAGGGGCAGTAGGGCATGGGAAGAGGCCACTGTTGGATGCAGAACTCCTGCCCCACAGGTGCCTGGGGGGGCAGTTGTGTCCCCCATGGCTGAGATCTTGTCTGGCCTGCCAGCCATAGCCACCTCTGGGACCTTTCCTTCCTTCCCAGTCTGTTCTCCTGGGATCCTCCACCCCGCCCTGGACTCTGTCTCCCCCAGAAACTTCTAAAACACTCACTGATGGCTCCATGCTTGTGTGTATCAAGAACCCTGAACTTGGGAGATCACTTGGCCCCCCGTTTCCTCTTTCTCTTGAACACAGGGGAAGAGTTTCCCTTCATATTTCATTTTGGGACTCAGAATAAATCTTCATCGCTTATCAGCTCTGTGACCTTGGGTGAGTTGTGTAACCTCTCTGTGACCCCCTGCACCTTAGCCAAAGATGGACTAGTACCTACCTTATTGGATGTTTGAAAAGATCAAATGAGTTAATATGGGTCAAGCATTGGTAATAATGCCTGTCGCTCCTACAGTCCGTATCTGATGAGCGTTAGCTATTGTTCCTTTCCTTTCGCCCCACATGTGAGTCTCTCAGTCTCGGGGTAACGGTGAGCACAGGGCGATAGACACGGAGACTCAGCTCAGGCTTCTTTGTTGGAGAATGAGTTGGGCAGGAAGCCTGTAGCTGGACTGGGTCGAGAACCCAGGGATGCTGAACTCCCAGCTTCTCCGCCTCTTCCAGAGCTCAGGGCACACCGTCACGTGAGCCTTGCCCCTTCTAGGCTGGTGTGTCAAGCCTGGGGACCCCTCGGGCTGGATGGAGGACGGGGTTCAGGTGGAGGGGGGCCCGGCTGAGGGTGGCTTCTTGTGGGGAGCCAGCTCTAGCTGAGCCTGAAGGCTGTCACCATCGCCGCTCCGCTGGGCTGGTGGCCGGAGCTGGGGTTGCCCACTGTTTGAAGAGGCAGCAGCCCCGTCTTTGGCGATCAGGGGCTTGTGCCCAGACCCACTTATGCCTGAGGGAGAGCCTCCCCCCAGTCCCCTCTGTGGGCCCCTTGGATTGGGAATTGGAGCCAAGATTAAGGTATGAGCTCCAAGAAAAACGTGTCCCAGCTAGAAAAAAAGAACACACTGAGTCTCTGATAAAGGGCCCTGCTAATTGTCAGGGTAGTGGTTTGGCTGCCTGGCCTGGATGAGGAGTGTTATCTCAGGGGAGGGGGCAATGCAGCCCTCCCTCTCCCCTCCCTCTGTCTGGAGGCCCACGTGCCGGTCCCCACCCTCCATCCGAGAGGAAGATGAGGGTGGTGTTAAGAATAAAATCTCGTTGCAACATGGGGGGTTAAGGGGGTAGGAGAAGAGTAAATGAAACAAGATGGGATTGGGAGGGAGACAAACCATAAGTGACTCTTAATCTCACAAAACAAACTGAGGGTTGATGGGGGGAGGGGGGTTGGGAGGGGGGGGGTGGGGTTATGGACATTGGGGAGGGTATGTGCTATGGTGAGTGCTGTGAAGTGTGTAAACCTGGCGATTCACAGACCTGTACCCCTGGGGATAAAAATATATTATATGTTTATAAAAAATAAAATTAAAAAAAAAAAGAATAAAATCTCGCTCATAAAGGGTGCTCTCACCCCTCAAGGCTTTCTTTGGAAGAACTGGCAGGGCCTTTCACCAACCTGCTTCCCTCAAGCTGTGGGGACCCCAGACTCTGCAGCTTTGGGTGAGATGCCTTGGCATTGGGGAGAACCTCCTTTCTTAGAGCTCTTAAACATGTTTTTAAAAAATGTAAAACAAACCTTAGCATATTGTGGAACATTTAGAACATAGAGCAAAGAAAAAAAAGCCTTCTTCTTATGACCTGAACCCATTGCTACTAAAAATCCTGGTGCACTGACCTCCAGTGTTCTGCCTATTTTTCTACAGAATTTAAAAATTGTGTGATATATGGGACATCTGGATGGCTCTGTCATTTTAAGCTTCCGACTCTTGGTTTCAGCACAGGTCATGATCTCAGGGTCGTGAGATCGAGTCCCGCATTGGGCTCTACACTTAGCGTGGAGTCTGCTTGAGAATCTCTCCCTCTCCTGCCCTTCCCCACCATGAGTGTGCACACGCACGCTCGCTCTCGCTGAAATAAATAAATAAAATCTTGAAATAAAAAATCATGATGTACATTTCATTTTTGCCTTCTGCCACTCCCTCTCTCCCCAGTGTGATTGCCTGAGGGATCTACCACGTGGCTGCAGCATCTCCTAGTGACCTCTCAAGCTGGAGATGGTCAGTGTGTTGAGCTGAGGGAAGGGGTGTCTGGCATGGAGGTGGGGCCGTGGAATGGCCTCAGGAGGCCCTGGTTTTCTGTGTGGATGAAAGATGCTAACCTTGCCCTTTCTGTGTTCCTCCCACAGGTGGCTGCCCCCTGCATCCCTCCATCCAGCCATGAACTGGTGGTGAGTGACAGTCCCTTCCCTACCCTGCTGGGCTCTCTCCCCTCTTTCTTCAGCTCCTCTGTTACAGCTGAAGGGTAACAGCTACAGGGTTCTGGGCCATTAGGTAAGGAGGAGGAGGGGGACACTTCCTGAGACCGAAGCTAGACTGGGAGGAAATGAGTCATGAGGTCCCTTCTGACGAGATGCAGGCCCTCCTAGTTCAATTTGAGACCAAAGTCCTTGGAAAAACCCATAAAAGGGCATCTCGCATGCCTCTGGGCCCAGCCAGGTGCCTGTTGTTCTGGAGCTTCTGGGACCAGGGGACGGCACCTTCTTCTACCTGCCGGGTCTTGGGTCAGGTACCCTTCAGCTGGAGGGAGGGGAGTGGATGGCCTGACCCACAGAGTTCCCCCGCCTGGGCAGTGGCTCGCATTCAGGTGGCCCGATCCACCTCCAAGCTCCTTGGCTGACTCTGCTTTTCTGTTCCGTCTCCGTGTCTCCCAGCCCAGCCTCCCCTGTCAGTCTTCCAGAAGAGTGTGGACAGGGGCAGGTCTCCTATGAGTTGTGGGCTGTGGGGAGAGGGGCCTGTTCCAGACAGATCCCAGCTGGGCTGATCCGGAACACTGGGAGCTTCTCCTCCCAGCGCTTTCAGGCGCCCCTTCTCCCCAGCCTGGTGCTGGAGGCGGGCAGGGCCCTGAAGGCTGGAGCGGAGGGCTCTGCATGACTCCAGGTGCATGTATGTGTGTTTGCGTGTGTGTGTGGGGCACACAGGACAGAGGGCCCCTATGGACACAATCCTGTTTATTGATACAGAGGAGCCTCTGTCACCAGAGGAGTGGGAGTTGGGGAGGGGGCCAGGGTGTCCTGGCACGTTCAGGTGTCTGTGCATCCACTCAGCCTGGATACTGTCAGGCCACCTGGTCTCTCCTTTCCCTCAGACACCCACTTACTCAGTGACAGCGGTCAAGCCCATCTTCTTTCTGGACCCCAGCTTCCCTTCCTGTCAAGGGGAGTGCTTGCTCCTGATACTCCCAACGCCTTCTCGGTGCTGGAAGTGTCCCCTCCATGGAGGGTCATGGATGGGATGAAATAAGGTTTGTGGGGGGACTCTATGCTCGGGGCTCAGACGCTCAGACACTTCGGGCTCACGGCTGCGTCCATGTCCTCTGCAGCCCTGGCCGCCTCGGGCCCATGGCCGGGTGCCTGTCCTCTGCAGCTGGCTGGGCTGCGCCAGGCTATTTCCCTTCCTCGTGGAGGCCCCACCTCCCTGGTCTCATGGGGCTCAGACCCTTCTGGGCCTCAGCTCTGCCCAGCAATGCCTCTCCAGATGTGGAGTGTTCTTCGCACAGAGCCTGGTTACAGGTCATCTGACAACAGTAGGGGGTAGGGGGGGTAGGGGGAGGCCGGTGCAAGGCCTGGTTTGCAACCACCAGCAAGAAGTTGCTCTGGGGTTGCAGAGGGTCAGTGCAGCGGGTGGGTGGGGAGGGGGTGGAGGAAGCGGGGAGCATAAGTCTCATCATTTCAACTCAACTGCCACCTCGCCCCTGAGAACAGAATGTCCTTGGCTGGTCCAAGGGTAGCTGGGGGGTCTGGGGCTTAGGGATCTGTAGGCAGAAGCCAGATTCCTGGCCACTCAGAGTCTGGGGAGCTTGTTTATGTGAGGAAGGGTCAGGGGTTGGAACAAAAGGGAAGAGGTTGGCATTCGGGCCAGAAGGATTGCAGTTAGATACCAGAAGGATCTTCCTGTCCCTGTGTCCTGTCCCACCTGTGAGGAGGGGGGCTCTGACCTTCCAGGAGGCTGGATCGGCCACGTGGTGATGGAGTGGTTGATGTACCAGATTGTGCTCCCTGAGGCTCCCCATCTAATCCACCGCCCCCCCCCCCCACCGGCCCCGGCATGGTCAAGAGTGAGGGGGTTAGACTCCTTCCCTTTGGATCCTGGCTTCTCAGTCTCTGCTCTGTGACCTTGGACATAATACTTAACCTCTCTGGACCTCAGTTTCCCCTCTACAGATTGGGAGTTGATAATAGCCGCTGCCCTGTAAGGCTTTTAGGGAGAATAAAAGGAGCAAACGAGTGAATTTTTTTAAGGATTTTATTTATTTGAGAGAGAGGGTGTGCACATGAAAGCACACAACAAGTAGGGAGGAGGCAGCTCTGGAGAGGGAGAAAAAGGGCCCCCGCCGGGCAGGGAGCCTAATGCGGGGCTCAATCCCAGGACTCCGGGATCATGACCTGAGCCGAAGGCAGACGCTTACCCTACTGAGCTGCCCAGGAGCCCCGTGAGTATATTTGATTAATCTGTATTCAGGGCCCTCCAGGGGCTGCCCACCGGATTTGGGGTAAAAGTCCAGTGTCTTGCATTGGCATGTACAACCCTGCAGGACAACTTTCCTCTCTGACATCTCCTTCCAGAAACTCTCTCCTTCATTCACTCTGCGTTAGATACCTGGATTTCTTGCTCCTGAACACAGCAGGCACGATCCTGCTCCTGGACTGTTGTCCCTCCTGTGCCTTCTGGCCGGGAGACTCTACCCCCGGGTCCCCCTTGAGACTCTTTCCCTCCCTTAGGTGTTCACGCACGTGGGAGATTCCCCTTCCCCAAGCAACTCCGTCTCCCGTCTCTGCTTTCCTCGTCCCTCCACAGTCTCACCACTGGGGACATGGTGCGTCTCTTCCAGGGCTCCCCTCCTCCCAGCACAGCAGCCTGTGTGGACAAGGGATTTGTATCTATCGTGTTCACTGCTGTATCCCCACCACCTGCAACGCAGTAGGTGTTCACCGACTCAGCGCGCATTCACCAAGTGGCTGGAGGAAAGGCTTCAGCCGGACTCCCTGTGTGGGTTAGGGGCTCAGCAAGTAGGGCTGCTGTTCCCTGGCTTGCCTGTGGGCAGGGGTCTCTCTGTTCCTGGGGGAGGGTGCTGGCCTCCAGAAGGACGCTCTGCTGTCGTCCCAGGGAGTGGGAAAGTGGCCCAGAGGCAACCAGGAGAAAGTTTGGCTTTTCCCAGAGAGCACTCAGCACCTGTTTCCTCAAGGCAGGCTAGGCAAGTGCTTTGAGCAGGTTCACAAGAGGGAGGAAAGGGCGGGTTGTATTTTTCCTTCCTTTCCCATTTGCTGCCTCCCCTTCAGCCCTGGCATAGCTGGTCTCTGGTCTCCCTGCCCCCTTCCCTCGTGCCTCGCAGCATGTGTGTCTGCTGTGGTTTCTCCAGGTCTCAGAGAGGGCACAGCTTTCCCTCTGGCCATCTCACCTGTCTCGCTTCGATCTTACCCCCCTGGGATCGGGAGCCCGTGTCCTGGACACAGGATTTCTGCCCACTGTGGGCCTGCTGGATACATTCTCCAGTCTGTGCCAGGCCAGCGAGGGCAAAGTGGCTTAATCTTCAACCCGTGTTTTCATCTTACTCAACAGATGTTGCCCAAGGCCTTGGGTAGAGGGTCCTAGGGTCACCTCCCTCCTGTGGGGTCCCCTGGTGGGGGCAGGATGGAGAGGGGAGAGGGCTTGTTTGCCACAGACACTCCTGATCCTTGGAAATTGCTGAAGCAGCTTTTCTCCACTTCTGAAAAATAAAGAGTCAAAAGGAATTTCCCGAGGGTGATAGCCAAGTGGAGTGGCCGCCAAGGTCGGCCGGATGGTGGGCCCTCCTGCACACAGAACCTGGCACCCAGGAGACGTGCGCTGGGGACAGACGGGAGTGCAATGCCTCTCCTCACCCAGAGCAGCCCCTTAGCAGGTGCTCAGAATGAACTGAAGGTTGGGTGGGGAGTCTGTTGGGACAGGAGGGAAGAGATGAATGGGACAGTGGGAATGCCAGGCCGGATTCCCCCGTAATGGCCATCAGAGCAATGGTGAGATGGTCACCCTGTATGGAACTTTCTGCCGGACATTGTTCTGAAAGCTTTGCAAAAATAAACTCATTTATTCTTCATGACAACACAGCAAGAGAGATGCTGTGGGATTATCCCAGTGTTATAGATGAGGAACTGAGGGGGCCACAGAGCTATTCGAAGGGGGTGTGGGATTTTGACTCAGTAGTCCAGCACTGCCGTCCACCCGCTTGACCATCAATCATGGCAGACATCATTCACTTGCACGACACCTGTGGTTCTCAAAGCCCTTCCCGGGACATCAGGCCATGGGGACCCCACAGTGGAATCTGTGGAAGTCAGGGTGTGTTGTCAGAGCCACCTGGGTAGGCCGAGGAGCAATGTGGGGCTCAGAAAGGCGAGGTGACCTGTTCATGGTCCCACGGGAGTTGGGAGGGGTGGGTAGTGGGGTGCTGGGTCGGGAAGAGGCTTTTAGATTCCTGGTTCTGCTTTCTCCCCAGAACCTCCTAGATGCTTGCTGCTGATGTAAATACTGATGACAATCAGGTGGACTTTTCTGGGATTTCTTTTCCTTTCCTTTCCTTTCTCCTTCCCTCTCCCCCTCCATTTATTTAAAGTAGAGTTGACACACAATGTCCTATCAGTTTCACGGATTGGGATTTTGTAACAGCGCCAGCCACAAGTGCACCTAGCTAGCTCAGGGCCTGGGATTTAGAGGAACATCTGTCTCTTCATCTTTCTGTCCGTCTGTCCTGCCCACAAACATTTCCTGAGCAGCTGCCTTGTGCCCACTGCTGTTTCAATGCTGGGGCTGCAAAGTTCCTTTCTGCCACAGTGCGGCTTCTAGAAGGTGGGTGGGGTTGGGGTTGGCATAGAGCCATAGGAATGAGAGGACTTTACACACCATTTGCTCTAGTCCTGCTCTGTTTCAGGTGAAAAGGAGGCGCTGAAAAATTCTTTTGACTCTAATTTTTTTTTTTTATTGTGGTAAATACTAGAACATAGGATTAATTACCTTAACTGTTTTCAAGTGTACAGTCATGGTATTAAGTTCGTTCCTGCCCTTGTGCAAATGTCACCCATCCATCTCCAGAACTCTTGTCATCCTGTTCAATAAAAGTCTACCCATTTAGCAAGAACTCTGCCCTACCCTTCCCCTGTCCCTGCTTACCACCTTTCTCTCTGTATCTCTCTGA